CAGATTTAGGGAGACCGACGTAACAGAGACAGATTTAGGGAGACCGACGTAACAGAGACAGATTTAGGGAGACCGACGTAACAGAGACAGATTTAGGGAGACCGAGCCTTGCCCCTTTCCGAATGTTTCTCTCGGTATCACTTCTGTTCCCTGGCGACCTGACATCCACAACGAGAATACGCTGACGGAGGGTGTTTGGCCTGGCGAGATAGACCCGCGAGATTACTTTTTTGTACGTAATATATTTTTTTAACAGGATTAGTTTTTATAACAGGAGGGAAATTCGGTGAAACAAATCGATGAAACATAGAGAGGAAGATGCATTTTACGATAATATGGTTTTTTTTTTAAATCTTGGAGAAGAAAAGGATAGTTTTGTGAAAAGTAGGGAAAAGTTAGTTTATGGTATTCACTTTGAGGATTTGTCGTAGGGTATTAAAACCTGTATGTTTTAACTATTCAGCGGAAATTCACACACATACTTTGATACCAGCGTGCATTTATGGTCGTTAAGGGAGGATGTTTCGAAATAATAATGGATACAGTCCTCTTGATCCAGATAATTGTCTGGCTGTGGCGGTGTAAACAGCTGGTGTAACTCTGCTATAGTCGCAATTCTTCCATCAGCCCATACATACTGGCCTTCAGTGACACGATCGTCCAAGCCTACAAACACGTAACTCAAGCTCTGGGCGATGGAGATCCTCCTCAGAATTTCCAATTTGTCTATGGAGTCCGCCATAAAGAGCCGACCTTGCCCGTTAGCAAGTTCTGAACACGAGGCCTCAGCTTCGTCAAATGTCTTGCTGTCCTGCGCTACCTTCAGACAAACCGCAGTCTCATTGTACAGGTGGGCCATAAACCCATTGCTCATGTCACACCATGGAGACAACACGAGCCCGTACAGCTGGTCAGAAGCTGGTGGTTGAGGTAGCGTGTCACTCAACATCGTGGCGCATGTGCAGGAGTTCGAACCGGGGTTGTACATGACGTAAGCACTGCTGTGTTGTACGAGACAGACGGTGAAGCAGGTAAGAAGCGACTTTAAGGTATAACTCCCCGCTGGGATAACACCAAGGCGGGAAGATGCAGACAGTTTATCAAACTTGAAGCTGTGCACGGCTTCGGTCGATGCCAATGCCAAAAGTGTGAAATGTGCACACACGAAAACGTTGAATAATAAACACACATACGAACAGTTTTTCATTCTCTCAGCCATGACGCTGCAAAGAGCCTGTAGCCGTGGCGGAAATGATTGATATCCTCAGCGCACGATGAAATCTGAGGTTCGCGGTAGAGAAGAGTTTGAATTTGTCTTGTCCTTCGATTGAACTGAATGTGTTAAACAGTAAGTTCTTTCAACACTTTTAAGTCATGAAGGAGACGAGGCAGTTCCAATTAAAATCAGTCCTTGATTGGAAATAGCCTGACTGATTGGTCGTCCTTCAGTCTTATATTTTAGATTCCAAAGGGGTTTTCTTTTCTGCGCAACACGACTCCAGGAAGTAAATTCTGAAAGAAAGTTTTCCAAATATCAAAAATACTGAATGGCGCTCATACTCATATGACTTTATGCAGTTGCGAGCGCCGTAAAAACCCTCTACTATAATAAAGAAATAAAAATATCGAAATTGTATAAGTCAGATTTAGACCCTCTTTCCGATCTTACTTGACACTCCATGCACATTTACCTGCGT